CCCCAAAACCCCAAAACCCCCCACGAAATTATTCATAAGATTTTCAATTAATTGAAATAAAATGGAAAAATAATTGTAGTTCAAATACGCAAGTCTTAATTTCAGTTAAGAGTTATTTAGATAAGTTCTAAAGGAAAGAGGTAATTTTATTAAGCTAATTTTGAAGGATGGATTTAAACAAATGATGCTAATTTAATTGGACAATAGTTAGGGGATGATGAAGAAGCTTTGAAATATCTAACTCCACTAATTAGAGACTAAATTCATTTACTTCTTGTTTAGAATTTGAATATTCTTAGTCTAGACACTGATGACGAAGTTGAAACTTACTTGAGAGGTGTGCAATACGTAAATATAGGCAAGAATTTCGAGCATTGTTTCAATCCAAGTATAATCAGATAGTCCTATTATAAGCTTTTGGTAATTATATTCTTGATATAATCTATTAGGATTCCTTAGAATATAATCAGCAGTAAAATCTCAGATATTTCTATCTTGAGTCTTATCAAATTCCTCTGCAGTAGGCTGAGTTTGAATCTGATTTAAATAAGCATGCTGATTATTACTTGTTTGAAACATCCCCATATGCTCATTATTGGAATATCATAAAGCCGGATAGTTAGGTCTAAAACATAATAAGTTCAGAATCTCCTTTTACTTATATTAAGAATGATGCTTTCAACTATGGCTAGTAAATGATGGATTTTTACAAGCACAAAGAATATTATCCTTGCAAAATTCAGAAGTACATAAAAGCTCCATTCATACTTAAAGAAGGTAAAAGGACAAAGTATCATGTAATCTTTAAGACCTATTTACTTATTGAAAGTATCCAGCCTTTACAAGCTTATCTGACTAACAAAGTTCTTGTTAATCTTAGATTCGATCCGTTTTTTGTCCCTTCATAATATATGAGCTAGTTTCACAATCGAAAAGAATAGCTCTTATCTTAACTTCTTATGATGCCATATTCATTCGTTAAAACAAAAGAAAATATAACATTAGAAGAATTCAAGATAAGACTTGCAAACCAAGGATTTGAATTTGACGATAAGAAATTTTGGTAACAGGTTTCAGAGTAGTGTATCTTAATACTTCTTTCGACATTTCCCAACATGCAATGGATCAAAGATAAATCATATCAGCTACTTGAAGTGAAATTTACAATGGATGAGGAGCAAAATGTCTGGCTTTGCAGCATCAATAACTAAGTAAAGTTCAGTGAAAACTACTCAATATACATTAATGCCTATAAGAAATCAATCATTCATGACTTGCTTTAAAATATGGAGTCTTAAATCAAAATAAAAGTTGAAAATGAAATGAAATTTTAGCACAAAAAGAAGTTAACAGCTGGAGAATTGAAACAGAAACTTAAAAATGACTAATAATGTAAGCTATTTTATTGATATTTCTAATAGAAAATGAATTGGCATTTAAGATTCAAAAGTCAAAGGAGATTCAAAGATAACTATTCAAAAAGATTGATATTGAAAGAGCAAAAATTAAATCTGCTTAGAAATAGGTTATTTCATTCAAAGAAATCAACTAATGCCTGACCTCAAGACAAAATCCATAAATCCCACTTTACTTCTAGCATAAAAAGGGGCATAATGAGCAAATGGCAAAGACAATTTAAAAAATTATCAGACTTGATGATCATAGAATCAATAGAAATAATCTAGTCAAGCCTCCAGTAGCTGATCACCACAATATATTGCAATTGAATTAATAGATTGAAAAACTCAAGGAACTTCAAAGTGAGGCAAAGCCTTAGCATATTTAAATTGTTGAATCTTTACTTTTCAGTATTTCTGTAAGCGAATACACTCATTATTTGGATAAAGTGATGAATGAGATACCAACTGACTTTGAAGTAGAATTAGCATTTTGAAAGATATTTCAGAAGCACTGTTACAATATTGACGCATTGAAAAATAAGCATCCTATCTTTGTAAAAATAAATGATGATGATTGGGTATCAAGATGGCTAATGAAATTACTCTACTATGGAGGAGAGTAAAAACAAAGGAAAAAGCAAAAGAGGCAGAATAAATTTAAGAGATTTTTAGTTTATTGCTTTCGAAGAATGAAAAGGAAGGAAAATATCCAAGAAAAATAGGAAGAAGAAAAATAAATGGATCCTTAAGAGAAAGCCTTAGAAGCTATAAATCTTTACAAACGACGGAAGCATGAGAAAATTTTATCTGATGAAGCTTTGTCTTACCAAAGAATTCCAACATCGTAGCTTAGTGAATACTTTGATGATGATTATGATGTTAAAGTCCCTCAAAAGGAAAAATGGATTAAAGATTTAAATGGAAACAAAGCGAAAAATGACTCTAGTGAAGATTAAGATGACAGTGAATTCAGCTTTTCTGAAATGGAGGATTAAGACAGAAAATAAATGCAAAATGCTATAGAATATGCATAGCTTGCTTAGAAATTAGGCATTATTAAAGAAAGAGGAAAACTTAAATCAGTATTGCCTAAAGATGAAAATAAGAGAAAAACAACTAGATTATTCTTTGGACTTACATATAGTTCTTCTTCAGATGATGGAAAAGATGACAAGTTATTAGAAAAAGCGAAAAGTCTAGTTAAATTAGAAGAGCTCAAAGGGAGCTTACAATCTGTGATGTCCTAATACAAGATAAGTTCAAATAAGATAACGTATAATTTGACTGAGAATGAAAAGGATTTAAAATTAAGATAAATGCAAAGATCTCAAAGTTAATTCCAACTTCCTAGGCGATAAAGAGATTTAAACTTTAAAGAATACCTTGAGAACTAGAATGAAATTTAGATAAACAAGGACATCTAAACTAGGTTTCCCTAGTGGAATGAAATTAAGGACTAAGATTTACTACCAAAGATGCCTTCAGTTAAGTTGTAATAAGTTACTCCTAGATAGGCTACTGCAATATAGAGTGACTATTTAACTGAGAGAAGAATGCTCAAGCAATATAATGAAGAAATCAGAAACACAGAGCTTGAGATTCAGATGAATCAAAAGAATTAAAAGAAAAACTAAATTTCTCAATCAGAGGCAAAAAAGCAATTGATTTATTCTAAGCTAAAACAAACAGTTCAGAAAATTATTCAATAAAAAAGAAGACCATAAAAACTAAATTACTTCAGGACAAATCAGTAACTACTATACCAAAGCCTACCTTAAACTGGAAGGTCTACTGTAACATCTGAAATGCTTCTGGGAAAAGTAGATCAAAGGTAACTTGAGCACCTAAATACTGTTAATCTTGATAGTGCTGGATAAAATCAAGATTAGTTTGAATTTCAGAAATACAATCATTTCATCAGACTTTTGCCCTTTAATCCAGAAAGTAAACACGTTTTGAAGGATATCGATTAATTGACAATTAAGTTTAATTATTTTGAACTTGTACTGATAACCAAGAGAATATTTAAACTAACTGAACAGTTTGATTTTTATGAAGCCATAAGTAAACTTAGACAGCCCACCGCTCCAGATCCAAGTACAGCTAAAACGACTGATTAAAGGACATCTAGACAGTTTCCATCTCCAAATTCTCCAACTACCTAGCCAAATTTCGCATAAAATTAATCTTGATGATTATATTAAACTTAATTTCATAAATAAAACCAGCTCATATAATGGCTTAACTATCGGATTTTATAATTAAGAAGAAGTTAGGTATATCTATTCTCATCATTATGCTATAATCAATATCATAGGTGAGGGATCTTATAGTACTGTATCATTGGCATTAAGGCTCTAAGATGGCTAAGATTATGCACTAAAGCAAGTTAAAATACAAAAACTAAGTGAAAAAGAGAAAGAAAATGCATTGAACGAGGTCTGATTTCTTGCATCAATAAAGCAGAAAAATATCATAGGCTATAAAGCAGCGTTTATAGATGAGTTATCTCAAACATTATGTATAGTAATGGAGTATGCTGATGATGGGGATCTATTTGGGAAATGCAATGAATGCAGAAAAAATTAAATTTATCTCCCGGAAATTGAGATTTGGAAAATATTTATTTAACTTGTCAAAGGTCTATAATGCCTTCATTCAATGAGTATCATGCACAGAGATTTGAAAGTACTTATTTTATATGAATTAAGATTTTATTTTAGTCAGCAAATGTCTTTCTTTGGAAAGATCTTACTGCTAAAATAGGGGATATGAATGTTTCAAAACTTGCTAGAAAAGATGGTCTCAATTACACATAAACAGGAACGCCTTTTTACGCTTCTCCAGAAGTATGGAGAGATGAGCCTTATGACTTCAAAAGTGATATTTGGTCACTTGGCTGTGTTCTTTACGAAATGACTGCCCTTAAACCCCCATTTAGTGCTCCTGATATGAATAACCTATTTAAAAAAGTTCTTAAAGGAGTTTACCCAAAGATCCCTTCAACTTATTCACCTGATTTAGCTAAACTTATAAAATGTTTGCTGAATGTTTCAGCATAATTAAGACCCACAGCAGATTAAATTTTAAAGATGCCAGAAGTTTTAAAGAAAATTGAAAAGTTATTCCCAGAGGAAACAAATAACGATAATTGTGTGCTTATTTAAACTTTAAGAAATATGAAGGACATTATGAAACTTAAATAAAGACTGCCGATGCCACTTAATGAACCTAGAAGATCAATAGTCGAGTCCACAAATAATGGTTAATTAAATAATGATTTAATGTTTGAATTGCACAATAACTCTTCAATAACGACAACTTAAAAGTAGTCTCGAAAGAAAATTAATAAAATGCTGAGAAATTAAAGTGAAGTCTTCATTCCAATTCAAAAGTAGTAAATGTTTTTGCCATTATTGAACAACTAGCAGGAGAAGGGAGGTAATAGTAGTAATAATTTATAGGAAAAACTTCTTTAAAAAATAAGACAATCATCATTAGCTCTTAATAAACCTGTTGTAAATATAGATTCTCAGAGAAGGCATCATAGGCATTCTTCCTTGATTGAAAGTCAAAAAAGAGATATTAACCAAAGCAGAGAAGAAAATTTAATTCTTCATTAGCCAGTCGAAAACCTTAACTTAAAAAGTAATTTTAATAAGAGTCTAGAGAGAGCTCGAAGTGAATAAAAGTTCATTCGAGTTTAGTCTCAGAATTTACCTGAAATTGTTAGCAAAAAGCCTATAATACATGCTCATAGTCCAAATAAACCTATAGATGTCAAGTAAACTATTGAGAGCGACTAATCAAGGTCATTAAATCAATCAACATCGATAAAAAGACCAACTTATCTGTAATCTAAAGAAACTATTAAGGTAAATTTAAGCTTAAATACTAGTATTAATGGAGCCTCTTAACAGTAAAATAATCTAGATTTTCAAAGATAAAATTCTATGGATAGTATTAACACTGAATCTCCTATGAGATAATCTAATATATCTAACAAGTAGTTCAATATAAATCTGCCTAAACCAGTTAGGATTATTAAGAAACATCCTTTACTTCCGCAAACTCCAATTGAAGAAGAAATAAACAATACATCAATTATAAATATTCCAAAAATTTCAAGCCAAAAATAACTCTAACTAAATCAGAGTAGTTCTTGATTTTAAATGCCCTCAAATTCATATTTGCATCGGATTCCATAACTCTCTGAGATTCATGAGGAAGACGGTGACAATAAATTCTTTAATATTCAGAGATAGATCAACTTGAAGGAGCATGTAAGATCAATATCTAAGAAGTTACCTTTGAGATAGTAATTATAGTAAGACGATGGAAATCCTTTCCTGCCAGCAAATTATCCTATGCAAATAAATTCAATAAATACATAATTATCAAGGGGTTAAGAGCACAACAGTCTCAGCTCAAATATCATTAACAATATGCCTTAAGGCTTTAAATTAAAAAGAAAGCCACTTCATAATCAGAATAACAGCATTGACTTTGGTTTTGTAGAATCCAGATACAACTATCTCTAGAGTATAGGGATGGCCCCATCAATTGAGGAAAGAGTGGGAAGATTAAGTCTTCTGGAAAAAGCAAAAAGAGAACTCTAAGATGGAAATAATATCAATCTTTTATGAATAGTTTTAAACTTTTATAAAATATTAGATTTTTGATTTCATAAATGTAATTAGAATTATAATTTCATTCGAATAATTAACTAAGGGGTTTTGGGGTTTTGGGG